ATCAAAATCACTATTAATTTAAAACAATTATTTTTTGTTTTTAATTATTTTTTTTTATATGTAAATACTATTTATTAATAATATTAAAACTTAGAAGTGATAGAAAAAGTCTAATTGCACATTTGAAAACATTGCGATAAGTAGATTTAGAAAAGTAAATTTTTGTTTCTGTTGAAAATTCCTTGTAGTCCAGTGTATTAAAATTATTAGTTTGTTAAAAGTAACAAAAAATGTTTATTAAAAAGTATTACATCAAGCCCTTTAAAATTTTATACGTGATAAAAGTAAAGAAATATATTACAACTTTATTATTTTTATAATATCTCCGTCAAAGTTACGATATTAAATTATTGAATATCAATTACGTACTCAATTTAATTACTATAATTACTATTTATTCATATATTATAATTATAAATCATATAACTATTCCTGATAAAATTAAGGGAATAAGAGTTATTCTTGCTATTGAAATAATCTACCAATTTCTTAAAATTATACACCATCTATAAAATTACATCGAAGCGTTTTTTATGATTGTGATTTTAATCACTGTCAGGTATCATCTATACATGTCCCAACTATACCAAGTCCATACTGTGCCGCAACCACACTGTGCTACTGATTTTTTTTCAATCCACTTATGGTTCGGGTGTCTTTTTTTAAATCAAGTCCCTCGCATATGTGGTTGGCGATCGACTTTTCTTATTGCAAGGGAACCATGATGGTAGCGACTCCACAATCCGTTGTGTGGTCCAAGTCGTCACCACTCATGTTACATATTTTATGATAAAAAAAAAAAAATTATCTGACGACTTATCTTTTATGCGCAAATGGTTATCGTAGTTAAAAATACATGTTATTTTATAATTCAGTTTTTTTTTAATTTTATTAGGTATTGGGGTTCCCTTCAAAAATCTTCAAGATGAAATTATCATTGTGCACAATTTTTTTTTAAATATCAATTTTACACTGCAATTTTTTGAAGAAATATACAACAAGCAATTTTTTTTATTTTAAAACACCTTACAAGGGTTTTTCATAGTAATGAGGTCACAGATTTTTATAAAAGTTACATGATATTAACCTCAAAAATTGGAAAAACTTCCTTCATTTCCTGTAAATGAAGAAAAGTCTTTCAAAAAAATTACAATTTTAAAAAGTTTCGACATTTTTTTAAATTTGTTTTTTTTTAAAGTGCCATAACAATTTAAAAAATGAATAAATCAACATAATTTTTTTATAGATATTGCAAGTGGGCTTTTTATTAATAATTCGGCCTGTAACAACAACGTGGTTTGCCACTTGCATAACGACTAGCTAGAGTAGCAAGGGTCGCCACCACCTAGGCGAGGTGTCACACCTATCAGATATGATTACCAGACCATAGGTGGAATTTAATTTTAAGTTAATTAAAAGTATAATCTACGTTAATATGTCGTTATATGTATAAATTACTATAACACCTCATGGTTTATTAAACACAATTATGTCAATTAAAGTTGTTTGTGGTTGATATGTAAAACATATTGTAGCCCGTGTCTAGATTAAGGAATAGGGATAAAATACACGCGAGTAATTAAGTTACTCGCACAATAAAATAAATATTACAATTGAAATTAATAAGGAAATTTAATTTAATTGTTAAAAAAAGAAAATTAAGTTAAACATGGACAAAAATGCGAATGCATCAAAAACCATGTCTACAAATAAAGGCAATACAAATAAAATAAAATATTTAAACAAATAATATTACAAACATCACGGACGGTATTGGAACACATCCGTTAATGTTAATCGGAAATTAATGAAGAACACCAGGAGCGGTCTGGACACTCGCTCCTTAGCGTTGGCTAGAAGAAAAGGGAAACACGTGCTCTCCACACATAAACAAAATTAAGTTAATTTACAATAAAATAAAATGAAATAAAATAATTATAAAATATAGCTCATTACGTAAATATAATATAAAAAAGAAAACGATACCCGGTCTCCGAAGAGACCCATCCGATGGTCTGGATGCTTCGCCGAAAAGATCTGGCCGTTCGCCGTTGGCGGTTCTACTCCATCATTGAAAAATATGTCAATAAAACAACAAATGTGTGCACCCTAGCACGGTCAATGACAGAAGAAAGAATAGAGAAGAGTCAACACCGATCTAACGGCAATTTCATATCGATAACGGCCAGTCTTTTTGGAAGGAATCAATACTGATAAACAATTCGATTTTAATTATATTTCTCTTTTATCGCTTTATCTAGCGGTCAGCGGCAAAATAATGAGTGGTTGACACCGCTGTGTCAGAAAAAGGTTCTTTCGCGCGATAAAATAAATAAGTAGACATAACATAAAATCATAAACGGTCCATCTTCGAATTTGTGGTGTTACAATATCTTAGATATTTTCCTACCATTTGATATGTAATTTATGAAAATTTGATCCTTGATCATCACAAGTAGGTTTTTCATAATGGCAACTTTTGAAAATGTGTCGAAAATGCTTAAATTAAATCTTAAATTAAAGTTTAAGTAATATACGTCAATATGAAAATAAAAATTCGAACTTAAGATTGTCGTGGTAAAAATTGCTACTGTGTTCAAAAATACGCTATTTTTGTATTAAAATTCTTGATTTTATATTTTTATAATTTTTATATTAAAATACCTTAAAAAGGTTTACCATAGTAATGACTCCAACGATTATTATAAAAGTTACATGAATCTAATTTAAATTAAATATAAATTTTAAATTATTTTGCCTCCTAACTTAAGAGAAACTTTAAATTCTTGAATAAGCTTAAATTTTCCTGTTCGTCTACTAAAATGTATGATGTAAGATTGTCGCGTCGGTTACACAAGTCTTTCACGCTTGGGGTACGAGGTTTAAACACGTCAGTTAACTAGCTTTATTTTGCACTTTTTTTAAAAATTCTTTTTGGGAAAAAAAAAAATAAAAATTCAAACTAATTTTAACTAATAAATAATAATATTAAAAATTAGAGGTATTAGAAAAATTTAACTGCTGTTTTAAAATCAGCAGGAAAAATTTATCAATTAAAGTAAATTTTTGACTCTTACGACAATTCCTTGTAAACTATTAATTTATAATTAATAGCAAATTGTTTTGAGAAATGTTTTGTATCATAATCATCAATTTTTATGCAAGATTGTCATAAAATTACTACATTATAATTTTTTATAATTTCTTTGTATAAATTATTAAATATAAATTTTTTACTGTATTTAATTACCATTCAGGAATAGCGAAGAAAAAAGGAATTCATTTTGCTTTTATTTTCCGCCAATTTCTTAAAATTAAACACTATCTACAGATTTGCATCAAAGCGTTATTTATAATAGTGATTTTAATCACTGCCAGATATCATTTATACTGTATAAGGTGGTTCCAACTATGCCACATTTATATTGAGCTGCGACCTCTCAGTACTATTGTCTTTTTTATATTCTTCAATTTTATCTTATTTTCTCAAATTTTTTTAATAGCATTATATCGAAAAAAAAAATGTATTATTAGTAAAAAAATATAGGCATTACTAAATTTTGCTTAAGAATCAAATGAATAATATTGGAGTATAATTTAAATAATAATTTTAATTTTTATAACTTTATGAATGAAAATTTTAATTGAACTACCTTTCACTTAATTAGGTATATTTATTTAATAATCTAGACTATTAAATATAGACATTTTAATATATATTAATAAACAATTATTATTACATAGCAATTCGATATTCAGGTGACGATGAAATATGCCGATTTGAAAAAGATACGAAAAGAAAAGCAAAAGAAAATGGAATTTTGGAATTTTTAATAAAAGCTCGTGAAAATGGATGTAAATGGAGTACAAAAACAATAAATGATGCGGCTAAAAACGGATATATAGAAATCTTAAAATATTTACATATAAATGAATGTCCTTGGGATGAAAGTACAACAGAAGCAGCTGCACAATATGGTAATTTGGAATGCTTGAAATATGCTCATATAAATGGATGTCCGTGGGATAAAAGAACAACACAAGGAGCTGCTTATTATGGTGAGTTAGAATGTTTAAAATATGCTCATGAAAATAAATGTCCGTGGGATGAAAGCACAACTCAAGCAGCTGCTTCTAATGGTAAATTAGAATGTTTAAAATATGCTCATGATAATAAATGTCCTTGGGATGAAAGCACAACTCAAACAGCAGCTTCTAATGGTGAAATAGAATGTTTAAAATATGCCCACGAAAATGGCTGTAAATGGAATCAATTCAATATTGTATTGACTGCTATTAAAACAGGTAATCTAGTAATATTAAAATATGCCCACGAAAATTTATGTGAATTGAATAAAGACGCTACTACTATAGCTGCTTCAAATGGTAATTTAGAAATTTTAAAATATTTACATGAAAATGAATGTCCTTGGGATGAAAGTACATCAGAAGCAGCTGCAAAATATGGTAATTTGGAATGCTTGAAATATGCTCATATAAATGGATGTCCGTGGGATAAAAGAACAACACAAGGAGCTGCTTATTATGGTGAGTTAGAATGTTTAAAATATGCTCATGAAAATAAATGTCCGTGGGATGAAAGCACAACTCAAGCAGCTGCTTCTAATGGTAAATTAGAATGTTTAAAATATGCCCATGAAAATAAATGTCCATGGCATAGAAGAACAACAGAAGAAGCTGCTTTTAATGGTAACTTAGAATGTTTAAAATATGCCCACGAAAATGGCTGTGAATGGAATCAATTCAATATTGTATTGATTGCTATTAACAATGGTTACCTAGAAATATTAAAATATGCCCACGAAAATTCATGTATATTGAATGAATACGCAACTACTGCTGCTGCTTTAGATGGTAATCTAGACATTTTAAAATATTTACATATAAATGAATGTCCGTGGGATGAGAGCACGACAGAAGCAGCTGCAGAATTTGGTAATTTAGAATGTTTAAAGTATGCTCATGAAAATGGATGTCGGTGGGATTCAAGGACAACAAGAGCAGCTGCTTTTTGTGGTAGATTAGAATGTTTAAAATATGCCCATGAGAATAAATGTCCTTGGAATGAAAGCACCCCAGAAGCAGCTGCTATAGAGGGTCAATTAGAATGTCTAAAATATGCTCATGAAAATAAATGTCCATGGGATGAAAGGACCACAAGAAGAGCTGCACATAATGGTCATTTGGAATGCTTAAAATATGCCCATGAAAATGGCTGTAAATGGAATGAATATACGACTCTGGAAGCTGCACAAAATGGTCATTTGGAATGCTTAAAATATGCCCATGAAAATGGCTGTAAATGGAATGAATATACGACTCTGGAAGCTGCTATGAATGGTAATTTTGAATGTTTAAAATATGCTCATGAAAATGGATGTCCGTGGAATGAAAACACAACTGAGTGGGATCAAAACTATTTTGTGTTAAGTGCTATTGAAAAAGGTCATCTAGAAATGTTAAAATATATTCACGAAAATATGAATAAAGACGCATGTGAATTGAATAAAGATGCGATTAATATGGCTTCTTTAAATGGTTATCTAGAAATTTTAAAATATTTACATAAAAATAGATGTCCTTGGGATGAAAGAACAACAGAAGCAGCTGCTTCTAATGGTAAATTAGAATGTTTAAAATATGCTCATGAAAATGGGTGTCCGTGGGATGAAACCACAACAGAAGCAGCTGCTTTTTATGGTAAATTAGAATGTTTAAAATATGCTCATGAAAATGGGTGTCCGTGGGATGAATCTACAACTAGAGCCGCTGCAGCAAACGGCTGTTTAGACTGCTTGATATATGCTCATGGTAAAGGTTGTCATTGGTATAAAGATACGATAGCTGCAGCAGCTGTGCATGGTAATTTAGAATGTTTAAAATACGCCCGTACACATGGATGTGATTGGGTTGAAGGTACAATGAGATTGGCTGCAGCGAATGGACATTTAGACTGCATTAAATATGCTCATGAAAATGGTTGTGAATGGGACGAAGGCACAACAAGGGAAGCTGCTGCTAGTGGTCATATTGACTGTTTGATATATGCACATAAAAATGGATGTAAATGGGATGAAGGGACAATGAGTGGAGCTGCTGCAAATGGTCAATTAGACTGCCTAAAATATAGTCATTTTAATGGATGTGTGTGGGACGAAGGGACAACAAGACTTGCTGCTGCAAATAGCCATTTTGATTGCATAAAATTTGCTCATGAAAATGATTGTCCATGGAGTAGAGATACCATTTATGAAGCTACTCAAAATGGTTATATAAGTCTAATAAACTATGCTACCGAAAATGGCTGCCTCAATTAATTTTTTATTGAAATATAATTATATTTATTTTAAAAATTTAAGGAAGTTATTATGTCATTATTTTTAAAATAAATTAATTTGAATTTCGATGTGTATCTTAGAAGGATAAAATTTAAATATAAAATTGTATTTTTAATAATAATTTATATTGTTTATTAAATCAAGTGTTCATCCAAGTTATATGATTATTGTTTCATACACGTGCATATTTTGACTAAAAATAATAATTAAAAATACTTTAATATTTACTTTAAGTACTCTTTTTATATTTAAAACTATAGAAGTAGGAATAAATTACGTTAGTAATTGCTTTTATACAGGTGTTCAATAAGATCGGAAACGCCGATTTTTTAGAGCCGCTATTGATTTTTTTAACAATTTTTTTTTTAGAGGCTAATTGAATAATTAAATGCATCTTTTACGATTAAAATTAAAGTTCAACCCTAATGCAAAAGGGTAGAAATCTACCCTAATTTAAGAAATTTAAATGGCAACCATTACTTTTTTTGATATTTTCGGTTAGGAAATTTTAATTATAACAAAAATACTTTTAAAATTTTAAAATTGGACAAGTCATTTTTGAGATTTTGTTTAAAAGTATCAATTTTGAGTTTGGAAGCACATTTCGCCACAATAAAAACTAATCAATGTGTAATTCCGTAAACATAATAATCATAAATTGTCTGATTATTATTGCTTGGTTTATCTTAATGATCGTATTTGAGCATGAAACGATCAATAAATATTGTTAAATTGATATTGTACCTTATCAATGGAATTATTAAATATCAATAAAAATATGATTTACGATTGCATTTTTTTCACGTTTACAAGTGAAAGTAGGTAGTTGTTGAAAAACATGTGTGTTATCAAATTAAATAGTTTAGTCAATCATAACCATTGTTCGTTGGGTTGGGTTGGGTTTGGTTGTTTATTCGTTGTTATTCGTCAAAATGATTTTAACGTGTCTTTACCATTTTGCGGCATGAAAATTTAAAGGTTCTATGTCAGATATTTTCAAATTGACTTTCTAATTTTTTATAATTTTCTGTAAAAATTAATCAATTTGAATAAATTGTTATTTTTAATAACTATTGTACTATTATCATGTTGTGCTACATTTTTTTATGGAGAGTTTTTAATTCATGTGGTTTAATTGTATTTAAACAAACATAATATTATGAGGTTGTCGTGTTATGAAAAATATCACATACTCTTCCTTACGCCGGACATATATTACTAGATTAACCACTAATTTTTTACATAAATAATTCATTATGTAATTAATTTAGTACTTGACTTAGAATGTTAATATTATTACTTTCAAATTTACTAAGCTTGCACTATGTATTTTTTTTTTTTTTTTAAGTTCTATCTATTCATTTTGTACTCTTTTATTTTTCAGATTGATTTTTGTTTTGATAATTAATTGTTAAATAATTTACACATTGTTTCTAATTTTGTTTTCTAATTATTCACTAAAATAGTTTTAATTATAGAACGTGCGCTTTAATTTGGCGTTCATTTTTTTGTTGTGCTTGAATCTATTAATTTTAAGTACGTATTTCTAAGATAAATCCATAAAAAATCTGCATGTATATGAAACTAGTCAGATGAAATTTATGATAATTCACTACTTAATAATTCAACTACTATTCTGTTGTGATGGAACATCGTCCAGTTGCATGTAATGTCTTATTTTATTACATTGGGTTTACTCAATTTTATATTTTAAGTAAAATGCACGATTCATCAATTTAAGAAATAAACAAATTTCTCGCCATTTTTAATTGCATAATAAGAAATTAGTATTTCTATGGAAACAGAATCAGTCAGTAAGATATTTAAGAGAAATATACAATTGAAATAAATAGCCTGTAAATATATAGATGATATTTTAAAATATATTTAAAAAGTCACTAACCTTATACAATGAACAATGATTATCATCCTTTAATATAATAAAACTTAGTTAAAGAGGATCTAAAGATATTGTTTTTTAATTGATATTTTTATCCATAGTAATAATAACAAATATTATGCATAAATTTATCAATGTTTTTCAAATACATGTTGTAAAAAATCTGTTGCTTATTGGAGTTAAAAAAAACCAAAATAACACATTATTTTTTAAATACATATGAAAAAATATTGAAAGATAAAATAGAAAAAAATCAAGAAGAATATATATTTAAATTATATAATTCATATGTTAGATTAATAAATAAATCATATCAAAAGTCAATTAATAAAACATAAAATATAGTTATTATAATAATAATTAATTGTAACACATTTTATAACTGACATATGCAATAATACAAAATGGAGAACATTTTATTTGTATATTTCATACTCAAAATAATACATATAATTTTAATTTTCCAATGAACAAAAATTTATTATTCTATTATTAATTTACTAGAAAAATTAAATTTACAGCTATAATTTCTAAGAATTTTATCATCAACTACCAGACGCTTAAGTAAGCATCAAAGGTACCACCATACAGTAACGACACTGTCGTATGCATTATTTAAAGTTAAAATCGAAAGTGGATAGTTTACCTTAGGTAATTATTCGGATTTGCCGAGGATCATAAAAAAGTCATCGTTAATTGTCGTCAAGACCTAATATTGTGAAACGTTTCTACGTTTGTTCTCTTTAAATATGAAAATACAACACAAATTGTTCGACTAATCGATTTGTTCTGATTTATTTTATATAAAGATGAATATATACATATATTAATAAACTAACTACTATATCAGTCTTATTTTAGAAACTATTTAATTTGGGGTGAAGTAGAAGTATAACCCTCTGGATCACGGTTGGTAACGAGTAGTTACGAACACCGTTGCAAAAGGTTAAAAGGGATTTTTACAAAAAGACAGTTATCTCGATCACGGTTGATAACACGGAGGTTATGATCACCGTTGGAGATGAACTGTATTGTATAAGTGGTGGAATCTAACCCTTTGGATCACGGTTGGTAAAACGTTTATTACAAGCACCGCTGCAAAGGATTAAAGAGGAATATTTAGGAAAAACTAGCAATCTTGATCACGGTTGATAACACGATGGTTATAATCACCGTTGAAGATTATGACTAGCCTTTAAAGAAAAGAATATATAATTTTGATCACGGTTGGTAACGTTTAGTTACGAACACCGTTGAAAATTATATATGTAATAAGGAAAAAATAAAGAAAACTTACTCGTTGGAAAAAAATGAAATGATGAATTATTATATGAAGACTAGTTGGCAATGAACACTGCAAACACTAGTAAAACGAAGAACTAAAAAAAACTATTAGAATTTTTAGAGAATAATTATACAAGTAGTGACGGTGCACTTTATGCTACCCGTCACCACCGGAGTAGTGTAGAACACAATTCCCCACATATTATTTATTTTTAAAAAACCCTCCAAAAACAAAAAAATATTCTAATTTCCTATTTTCGAGTTCTCGTTAAGACTGGTATATAAAATAATCATTACAATAAATATAATAAAAAATAATAAAAAAAAATAATAAATAAATACTTTAATTTACATATTTGAATAAGGGTTGCTAAACAGCGCTGTCCAGCAGACTTTCTTGCAACTGTCAACCAATGATAGAGCCGTAGCGTAACGCTACAATTGCAACGGAGTGGTACAGATTTAAACAGTATTTACTAGGGTGTCCCAGAATTTTGAAGTTTCGGAAATGCTTAGTGCATATCCCTCAAATTTATTTGTATACATATGAAAAAGAACACAAAAAATTTCCAGTCGATCAAACAAGTTTAACCCGTGCCGACTTGGGTTTGAAAATTAGTTAAAAGGGGCAGTTTTTCAGTTATTTGCCATTGACTCGTTAATTAATGTTTTCACAAAAAAAAAAATATAGGAAATAAATTGTAGATATAAATGTTGTGTATAACTTAAGTTTCTATAATTTTTCTTTTAAACCCACTAGTTTTCTAGAAAAATTGAAAAATAAGTATTATTTTGCAAAACTGTCGAAATTGGGATATTTACGAATATTGCATCATATCTGACGAATCGTTTATAATAAGAAGTAATATTTCATATAAAAATTGTTCAAATTTTAATTTTCTAAACAAAAAGTAATGAGTAAAGTTTTCATTGGGGCGATCGTTTTATTGTTTTAACATAATTAATATTTATTTTTACAAAATATATGAGTATTATTGGTTAATTTCGTTTATCATCTAGTTTGTTACTACAAAATTTCTTATGAAGTACCGTGATAATATTATTGTATTATCTACATATAGAGTAAAATTATTTTGCAATTATTAAATATTTCCACAAATCATGAAAAGATTACGATAATGATAATGAATTCTTTATTATACTACTTTAGTCGCCTGCGTTATTACATTGATTTTGTTTACCTCCGTGCAATCTATTTTATATTTTTAATTTAACGTAGCGTCAGTTTTAATTTTTATGTTATTTTGAAGTATAAAATATCAAGTTTAATTATTATATTTAGTGAAAGTTTTATTTATCAATACATATGTCACTAGTATTGAGGAGTTGCAAAAAAGAAATATTCTTAATAGGTGACATAAAACATCAAATTA